TTTAAAATAAAATATTTTTAATTTTAACAATATAAATTTTTAAGTTTTCAAATTTAATACAAAATAACAAATACAATTGTTGATATTAAAGTGAAAAATAGAGAGAAAAAACATAATTTTTTTAAATAGAAATTTTATTTTCTTTAATTTATTAATTTATTAGAGTTATTTCATTAAATTTAGATTTATTTAGATTTATTTAGTTTTATTATTTTTTGTTTTCTTTGATAATATTGTTTTTTATTAATATTAATGTTTTTACTAGTTAATTTTAATAAAATATCTAATTTGTTTTATTTTTCTCTACTTATGCAATAATTATTAATTTTCTTTTAATTTCTTCTTTAATTCTATTTAATTAATTTCAATAAATTGTATATATTATTATGTTATATAGTTAATTTATTATATAATTGTATACTGATACATACTATATAAATATTCGATAATATTTTTACTGTTATACACTTGTTTTATGAATAATAATAATATTTTGATATTTTTTTTTTATTTTAATTTTTTCATAATTTATTGTTTAATAAATTTTTTTATATAATACTAAATTAATTAATATAATATACTTTATGAATTACTACAATGGTTTTTTTGTGTGTTTTATTTTTTCATATATAAATTTAAATTTCTAAAAACTAATTTTTAATCTATAAATAATTATTGTCTATATTGGTTTCAATATTTCATTCAATTTATTATTTTCCCTTAAATATGTTTGTGTTTTTCAAATTTAATGAATTTCTAAATAGAATGTTTCTTTTTATACATTAATTTTTATATTATTTTGTTGTTATTTGGTAACTACTTAGGTAAATTGGAATTCTCTCTTTATTATTTATAGTTTTTACAATAAATTTTAATTTTCAATTTCATTTCTAATGTAAATAATACAATTCTTTGTACATTATTGTTTTTTTTTAACAAATACTCAATCATTATTTCTCATTTTATTTACTTTTCAATGTAAATTTTTTCAATATCATTTAAATTTTATAGATATTTTATAATATATTGTATTTTATGTATGTAGGTATTTAATATTTTTGTTTTTAAACATATTTGTTTAAATTATACAATGCAAATATACATAAATGCATAAAATTATATACATTTATTTTATTTCTTTTATATTATTATTATTGCAATGTTATATAAAATTATAAAATATAATAATAATATTAAATAAATGAAAATTTTAATTAACTATAAAAAGAGTTGAAAATTAATTATCACAGCGCTATATAATTTATTATAAAAAGTTGATAATTATATAATTTTATGTTTATAAAAGTATTTAAGTGATTTTGTGTATTTTTTTTAGAAGTGCGTTTTAATATCAGAAATTTGTGTTATAAAATTGTATAAAAGTGTTATATTTTTATAGGAATTATTTTAAGTATTGTAATTATTGAAAACAAAATGTTTATATAGAATGTTCATAAAGAAAAAAAAATAGTATTGAAAGTAGAAATTAAAAAACAAGGGATTAATAATGTGCAAAATTTGATTTGAAATTTAAGATTCAAGAAAAACTTTTAGAAAATAAAAATTTTTTTGAAATTGTTTTGATATGTATAAAAGATTTTTTTATATATAGTATAATTGTATAATGTAAGTTATTGTGTATATTTAAATAAATATATAATTATAAAATAAATTCCTGTATGTAGGTGTCATTGTTTTTAATAATATTGTAAAAATGATATGAATTTAAAGTTTATAAAATGTGTGAAGATCAGATAAAATAGATAGATAGTAAATCAACTCAAGCCAGTCGCAATTCTCATATCTTGTACAAATTGAAACATATGTATATACCTATATATTTTGTGTAAATACAATACAAGGACACAAAACGAATAACTGTTGTATGTAGCTGCCGAGTCATAATGATGGTAAAATGACAACTTAAATGGATCTACTCAACTCTGAATAATTTTATGATTGTATTAATTTTTATAAATTGTCAAATTTAACCAATATATTAAAAAAAAAAACAAAAACATGATATAACAGTAAGTCAGACTTGATTTTTTAGTTTAATAGTCATTTAGCAACGTAAAGGTATTGTTGTTTTCTAAATTAATACAATATCAAGGGTATATCAAGATGAAATGTAAAATGAGAAATGAAATGATAGTATTTATGTAAAATTACAGGAATAATATCTGACCACACAGAATAAAATAGGAATTTTATTTGGATCTAATGGTTCAAGTAAACTTAGAGAGTTTGTTTAATTTTTAGGGAAATTTCTAAGAATACATTTTATGTTGATTATGTTAAAAAACAACTCGGGGCAGAAAGTGACATAGACCATTATATTACAAGCATTGTTTTTGTACCTGTAAAATTTTATTTGTCTAAATTTTTAGTTTGTACCTATATGTATGCTAGTCATTTCTGTTATAATCCTTTACGGGGTTATTTTTCTTTCGAGGGCTTATAACACTTAGGAGGAATAATTGAGAGAAGAGTAAATTCGCATATTTATTCTGGTATAGATGATGGATTTTTATTTTTACCTGGAAAATTTGTTTCAGAAAAATTAGAATTAAGTTATTAATTCTATTATTTAAAAAATATTTTAAATTATAAATGAATGTTAAAAGTATTTGGTATTCTGCCAGAAACTTTAATTATGCAAGATTTTCTATTGAAAATTTTTTTAAAATTTTATATTATAAAATTGGTTTAAATGTCATGTATTCAAATACACGTATCTGTTATACATATATTTTGTTCTATGCGCGATTGCAAAACTTTGCTTCAATCAAATTAAAATCACAATTACTGTGGTGTAACCAAATTAAAAATTTTGCTTTAACATTTATGCGGATAAAAGAAATGTACATATGTTTGTATGTATATAAAAATTGGGCGTACATACATACGTTTGTATTAAAAATGCATTAAAAATGCTGTATGTATATTTTGTATTAATTAAACTGTATGCACGTATAAACAAAGTGGAAATTTTCATAACAGCTGCATTTTACGCGTTAAAAAAAAAAATTCTTGAAAAAAAAATAAATTTTTTTTTTTATATGAGTATAGAAAAATGTGAATATGAAAAGTAAATTGGTTTGTTTTTTTTTGTTTTTTAAAACAACCATACCAACATCATCATTAAAAGTTAATAAATTATTTTAAAAGCAAATATTATTTTAAAAATATGACATTTATAAAGAAAAATACAAAACATTTTGACTTTATAAATTTTGGATTATAAAAAGAGTAGCTTCACAACTGTGAGTAGTGGCACAACTATTTTAATATCGTAACACAAAATTATTGTCGTAAAGTATAATAAAGTTATATACGGGAAATGTAGATGTATTTGGTAGAAATAGGGGTTAATACGTTAAAGTAGATGTTAAAGTAGCTTTCAAGAGTACTGTACCTAAATGTTGCAAAAAAGACAAGTTAAGTCAATTTTTGAACACGAACTTCAACCCCTTTTGAAATTCGACCTTAAGTTCGTTTAAAATTTAAGATGTAAAATATACAGGATTTTTAAAACAACTTAAGAATTTCAATTCAAGACTGGATTTTTTTGTGTTACTATTCTAATAACAGGTTGATTGATCATTTTCCCATGAACACCTAAAATCCTGTATGTTACTAAAACAGAAAATTTGTATTATAAAGAGTTATGAAAAACAGAAACAAAGGCAACTGAAAAGTAAACTATTCACGATTAAAAATATTTTTGTTAAATGGAAATTTTGTTTTAATTTTTGTTCGATGGAATGGAGATTCAACTGTCTATTGTTGTTTAAAAAAATATATATATATCTTATATTATATGCACTTGTACATTATTTATGAATACGTTATTGTTATGAAAACATACAAGTACAATATTTCGAATTTTTATTAAAACTATGTTAAAAAATATGGAGAATTTTAATTGTAAATCAACTTATTGCATTTCAATATATACACAACATTTAAAATTAATGCAATGTGATCATTTAAATTCATGGAATAAAAGAGATTTTTTAAATAAAAATTTATTACGAATTCAATTTCATTCTATTTAATTTTCAATTCAATTGTGAAAAAGCGAAATATAAGTTATACATTTTGTACGTATACATATACGTGTACATAAATAAATTCGTATGGTATATTTTGATGTACTTGTGTAGTAGTTTTTCATTTATTTTCATGAAAAATGTTGAAAATCCGGTACTTTAAAATTGAATATAAAAAATTGAAAGGTCAATTTTAATTGATGAAAATCAAATTTTTTTATAAAAAAATATTTTAAATTCATTTAAAGATTTTTCAATTCTTTAAGCTTTATTTTATTTTTAAGTAAAAATTTTGATTAAGAAATAAAATTTAATTTTCGAATATGTACATTCATACTATAAGTACTGAACTGAGGCAGCTGCGAAGTAAAATTTATGCTTTGTAGAAATTTTGTAATAGTTTGTAAGGAATTGTAATAATTTACATAAGTTTCAGTCAAATATTGTTAAAACTGTTCCAAAATTATAACTTCCATTTTAATTAATAAAATTAACCGCGTTTAATTAAATAATAAATATCTTTTTGGAAACATTTATTTTTATTCGTATATGCAAATATATTGATAGTATTTCTTAAATTTCAGCAGAGAATTTCTATTTTCAGATTTCTTATAAAAAAATGTAAAATATATACATATTTTGTAAGCTAAAACTTGAAATTAAATTATTTTACATTAAAAACACTTATAAAATACAAAATTTTGACTAATTTTATTTATACAACATTTATTTTCTAAAAGCTTCTTAGATTTACCATGAAATCATATCAATGCCTCAGAATAAAAGGAAAAGATTTATATGAAATATTTTACATAATCAACTTGGAAATATTATGTAAAATGTATTTGTATTTAAATAAGTCTTATTTACTTTTAGAATACGAAAATTGAAATTTATGGTCAAAAATTAAACTATTACATACATAAGAGGATTTCAACTTAAGAGAAACTTAGAAAAAATTTAGAATTGAGAATTGCGACAATTGTCTGAGATCTTTTGTCAGTGTTTTAACGTGCAATACTTACTAAAAATATAAAACGAACTAAAATTAAATTAGCAAAATAAAATTAAATCTAATTTTTCAAAAAAATTTTAATATTAACTAAATTAAATTATGTCATATGTAAATCACCCTTTAATATTCTCGTAAAAGTTCTCTTAAATTGCTGATTTGCTAATGCATAACAAAATGGATTCATAGGACTATTTGCATAACATAAAAAATATGAAAACATGTAGAGATGTTCATTGGTACATGGTGGATCTGAACAGAATCCTTCAACTAAAGCCAATATATGATAAGGTGTCCAACAAGCTACAAATGCACCTAATATAAATGAAATAGTACGAAAAGCTTTCCTAGCACGATTCTCTGATTTTGACTTTTGTCTTCCAATGCCTAGAGGAATTTTTTTCTTACCTTTTAATCGTTTACCTATTGATCTAATAAAATCTCGTCGTGTTGAATCTTTTTTATTATTAGTGTTACTGTTATTAATATTATTATTGTTATTAAAACTATTACAAATACTATTGTCTTGCAACTGATTTAATTGCGGTTGCTGTTGTTGGAAATCTAATGTTTCTTGTTGTTGCAGCTGCTGTTGATTTTGATTTGATTGATCAGAACATGTAACAGATGTTGTAATTATTGTTGTAACACCATCTGTTATACCATTATCATAGTTATCAGTTGTAGTTGTAGTTACTGTTGTAATTGCGTTTGATGTTGTTATTATTGTCGTTTTAGTTGACCCATCTGTTAAATTTGTGGGGCAAATATTATTTAGTTGATTTTTTACTGAATCACTTTGATTGTTATTATTTTTTATAGCTACATTAACTGTTTGTATTTCATCTAAATTTGTTTTGACTTGTGCGTCCGGTGAGGTTAAAATTGTTTTGACTGATTTATCATTATTACAATCAGTTAAACTTACAGTCGTATTAAATTTATTAATAATGATGGGTTGAATTGGTTGTTGCTGCTGTTGTTGTTGACGTCTTATTTGATCAGCTGATGCACGTCTGATTTCTTCCTGCTTTAATTGTTGTTGTCGTCTTATTTGATCAGCTGAAGCACGTCTCAGTTCTTCTTGATGCTCTATTGAAGATAAAGAATTGACTTGAATATCATCTTGATTTAAAAGGACCTTAGGTGAAGGTTGTTGGGATTTTGCAGTGGCACGTATAAGGGCTTTTTGTAATAAGGATGGATTTGTTGCGACTGACTGATTAGCATCAGAAATATTTCTAGGTGGTGGTTGTGGGTAATTGATTGTTATTGATGGGCCGCCTTCATTTTGTGGTGATGATATTGCAATTGAACTTTCATCCATAAAACGTAAATCAGCACCATCCATTCCGCCTAGTATATCATAGGTCATTGTTAGGTCACTATACGTACTGCGACCAATTTTTTCCGATCGCGATGAAGTTGGCGGTGAGGAATCTGATACAGGTGGACTATCCTGAAAACCTGCTGGCGGGGGTACTTTAGAATTTTGTGCAATTTTAACAAGTGCTTTTTGTTGTTTATTTGTAGTACGTGAGGGCAATGGTGTGGGAGGTGGATCTATATCTTTAGGTGAAATAGGTGATTGAATAGGGGTAGGTTTTAATGGTTCTACTTGATTTAATGTTTCATTTAGTTGATTGGGTACATCTTGGTCTAGTAAACTTGCATGTTTCGTTTGGAGATGTTCTTGTATTTGGAATAGGGGGGTTGAATCTGATACTTTTCGATTGCATGGTGATTTTGGGGATAATGCATGTGAACTTGATCGTGATGGCGGTTGAATTGTTGATGATAGGCCTGTTAAACTTTCAATGGAATTTGATTGGGATTTTAGGTGGATGTTACCATTACTTCGAGTAGCTATAAGAGCTGCTTGAGCGCCAAATACTAAACCTATTGATGAACGTTTGCGAATCATTTGGATTTGCTGTTTTTGCAAAGCTTCTTTTTCTTTTTGGGTTTGATTAACTGAGCTTTCCTCATCAGAATCAAAAGCGGGGCTACTTGAACGCTCACTTTTTTCACTATCGGGTTGTTGTGACTGCTGTTGCTGTTGTTGTGTGGTAGTTTTAATTTTACCAGCCGAAGACTTTCTTTCATATAATTGATTTTTATTTCCAGACGATAATTTACGTTGATCTGAACCCGGTTGATTATTTTGTCCCTGTGCTGCTTCGTTTATTTGATTCGATGATGAAGACGATGTAACATTTGATTGAGGAACTACAGAAGATACTTGAGCTGTGGAATTCATTAATTGATTTGTTTTATTATCACATGTTGTTTTATTATTTTCTATACCTATTCCAGCTGCTCGACCAGCCATCCCACTCATTGCACCTGCACTTAATGCAACCATAGATTGCATTTTACGTTGTTTTGCTTCACTACGTTTTTGCATATCATATGCTGTTTTATATATACCACCATATAATATAAATAAAACAACTAATGTTGTCCAATAATAACCTATTATCAAAGCTGTATTAAAAACAGGATCCTTTAAAAATTGTACAGCACATTGACCTGGCAGTAAATCGCGTTTTCCAGTAAAATGTTCCCAACCAAAAATTGATATAAAAAATAATAATGCTGGTATTATCCAAGTTATTGTCACCATCCATATAACTTTTTGTTTTGTTCTCCAACTACGATATTTTGCAGCAATTTTAACAGAACAAAATCGATCTATTGTTATTAATAGAACTGTATATTGTGATACTAAACAAACAGTATAATCAACCGATAACCATAAGTCACATAATAACGGTCCTAAATCCCAATATCCCATAAGAACGTATACCGTGTAAAATGGCATTGATACTGTGCCTGAAAATATGTAAAAATTAAATATATTTTTGTATATATATAGGGGAATATGATATTTGTAGAAGTATAACGATTGATACTTTAGCAGTACACTTATTTTTATTGTATAATTCAGAAAGAACCTTTTTTGTTACACAATAACAAATTTAAAGGAAGCTTCTATTTTAAAATTATTCAAAAAACAAAATAAGTAAAAGTATTTTAAAACTTACCAATTAGCATATCAGTTGCAGCTAATGATGCTATAAAATAATTTGAAGGTTGTCGAATACTTCGATCAACAATAAAAGCTAATAATACCAAAATATTACCACCAACTGTTAATATTATACAAAGAGCTAAACAAATTGCTATTAATATTGTTTGCCACAATTCAAATGGTGGCAGCACTTGAATCGGTATCTCAGTGCTACTATATTGTGTTTCGTTAGTTATATTATAACTGCTAAAATTTCTATAAAATTCATCAAATGATGGAACTGGATTCACTTCACCGTCGAATAATGGATGATAAAATGGTAAACCGAGTATTTCCTGGCATTCTGGATATTCTAACAAACGATGATATAATGATTTGCAGATGGTTTCTTTCTCTTTTTTGATTTTCCTGTTTGTTCAATAAAGAAAAGAAAAGATAGAGAAAAATTGTTGTTAAAAAAACTTTGAAATAGATGATAAGTGATAAATGTGATGATATCAATAGTAACTGTGACAATAACAATTTTAAGAAAAGGACATGAAATTTTATTGCTCGTTATCATTTGTATACAAAAATATATATTGATTTTTTAAATTGGAGAATAAGTTCGATGTTTTGTAAAAATAAACAGTTTCTAACTAATAAAATGTTTAAAACGGTACGTGCGAGTCATCCTGAAATATAGAAGGCATGGATTTTTTTATTGCGTCTTCATGTTCAGGGCACTTATATAACACTATTATTGAAAAAATTGACGGAAGCGAGCAGAAATAGTTTTAAATTTTTCTAAGTAAATTGAGTGTATTGGTGATAATGAACTTAAGCCCTGGTTAAATTAAGTTTCAATAAACTCGTGAATTATTTGAATAATTTCTTATAAACTTTTTAAACACCAAGCTCTTATTGTTTTTAATATTTCATCTACTGTAATTAAAATTTCCTTTTTATAGCCTTTATAACACGGGTTATTGCGTTTGAGTAAATTTTTATCATAGGCAGTAGTTTGACACAAGGATGAAACTTATATAGCAGCAAAGGTATTTTGAATAAAAAAAATTTTTAATATTGGCCATTAAAAATAAAATATTCAGACTCGTTCTCATATTAATTTACTATGGTGCCAAATAATAGTTGTAATAAATCTTTATGCAGGACAAGCTTAAGAGCATTATTAAAAAATTTTATAACCTTAAGAATTCTTTTAAAATATTAATACACATTTTTTTTTTGTATAACAACCATAACTTTTTTTTCATCTTTCTCAATTTATTACTTAAAATATGTCCCTAAAAAAAATTTCTTTAAGGTCTATTGTATATAGAATTTCGAATAATAGGGAGAATATAATTTATGAATTGTTAAATTAAATTTGGAATTATGATGAAAACTCTTGAATTATGATATTTAATTTTGTAAACTCCTTGAAAAGTCCTTTTTAATAATCTTTCAGAAGTTTATGAATTCATTTTGTATAATTTAATCAGTTATAATTCCTATTAATTTTTTGTAATTTATTATTTTCTTTTTATAATGATCTCACTTTATTATAGTAATTTAAAAAAAAAATTTGAAATACAGTTGCGGTTTTCAAGGAAGAAAAAAAGGGCAATGACTAGAAATTTTTTTTCCAAATTTTTATCGACAAATTAACTAAATTAAATAAATTACCTTGCTCTTCTCCCATATTTCTAACCCTATTCTAAAATGAAAAATAAGTGTGATTTAACGGTTTTAGTACAAAAAAAAAATAAAAGAACCCACTTGCATACCTCAGTTAGTCGTCAGAAGTATATACGGTTATGAAGGTTGTAGTATAGAACCTATATAGAGAATTCTTGAATAAATTTTACCGTTTTATAAAATTAAATTATCCTTGTCAAATTATTCCTTTGGGAAATTTTATGCCTGCAAAAAAAGACCGTCATTTATTTTTTTCTTCTTTTTTTTTGTTGCTGTCTATAAGAGTTTTTATGTTTTTTGTTGGTGTTGTTTTTGTTGTGGCTCAAATTGTTTATTTTGATCGGATTGCAAATTTTTTTCTTTCTTTCTATTTTTCATTTTTTGTACATCTTCATTATATTTTTTTTTTGAACAGAAGAAAATTATTAAAATTTAAGCTTTGAAATTTAAACAAAGTGAAAATCAGAGGCATAAAAGAATTTTTTTTTTCTTTAATTAGAGGATTTTTTTATGAAATTGTAAAAGTTGTTTATGTTGTTTTTTGCGTTAGATATAAAATAAACAAAACAGTTTGTGTTCCAGTTGTGTGTCAGAATGTATTTTTTCCAATTTATTCGTTTTATAATACAAAATCTTCTTTAATTGAAGAGATTAAAGTATTCATGTATAAAAAATGTGCTTACATTTGCTAAATAATTTCGTTAATATTTAATTGGCACTGTTCTAAAGCCATTCGTAGACAGAAGTTCAAAATAATGTTTTAAGGGTTTTAATTAAGAATTCTTTTACTAAATTTTTCAATAACACAATTCTGATCATGTATTTGATGCATTTCCTAGTATAATGAAGAACCAAAGGTTCCATATTAGATAACAATACTCCTATTGCAGCCAAAATATAAATTAAATTATTTAAATTTCAAAATTATTATTCACAAAAGATTTCTTCACTAGAATATTCATAAGTTTTACAAACATTCAAACAGATATCATTTAATACGCATTGCTATAATAATTTATAATTCAAAATTTTTCTCTTTCATTACTCTTTTTCTATATAAAAATAAAGAAGTCCTGATAAATGGTGTAATAATTTAAGTCAAATGAGAAAAAAGACAAGATACTTAAATCGTTATGGGTGGTAAACTTTTAATTTTATTCTACATTCTTATGATGATGCTTTTATCACGACAATTTATTTATCCTTTTTTTTTTTTCATAAGTACATATTTAAATATGTAAAATTTTATATACATTCATATATAAATATATAGTATAATGGTTATAATAATTGTAATGAAGATGACAGTAATTTTGATGTTAGTGAATGGCAGATGGCATTTAAGATGAACGATATGGCAAATTATACCATAATGAGCCGCGAAATAGAGCAATCTTAAAATTTGTGTATACAAATATTTTGCTAAAATTTATATGCATAACCATATAATATACTAATTATACTTATGTACATATTGTGCATGTAAACATAATAAATGTACATATACTGTGAACATGAATAAATATAAAAGTTTTCAAATTCTTTTGTCGCTATAATTATTTAAAACTCATAAATTTTTATACACAGACATTGTATATAATGTTTGTGTGTTTGTTTATAAAATTTTGAATAGAAAGTGTTTTACTTAATTTATGTTACAATTGTAGACAACTTAATGATTTTATAAGAGGATAAAAGTATAATGGAATAAAATGAGCGTTTTTATTTATTGTTTTTTTTTTTAACATTCCAATTCATACGGACGTTCTATGTAAAATTTTGCAGACGAATAAACCTTTCTGAGAACTCAAATTACTTGTATTGAAGCCAATTTTAGTCTTTATTTTAATTTTCTCTTTAAATATAACATAAGATCTCGGAATACATAATAGTATTTTTGGAAGAAATACTCTGCATTTTTGAAAAAACCACTCAATCTTCATAATATTAATATGTTGATTCTGAATCTCACTTAAGTCATTTTGATAGCTTCAAGTATTCAGTTCATAATTTTGGAATCGTATGTGATCAACAATAAATTATAAAATTGCATACATTAGGGGGCCCAAATATTTGGAAAAGAAAATACTAATTAGGGTACTTCTTGACTTGCTTTCAATCATACTATTTCAATTTTAAAAATTGTTATTAATTATAATTTGAATACATGATTTAATTGAATTTTGTCATTAGTTTTATGGGTTTAATTAATTAATATCACTAAATACCGTAAATTGTTGGTAAATTTACAAAAATTTCCGGATTAATTGAGGATTGCCCTTTGTAAAAATTGAAACAAAATACTTAATAAAAATAAATTAAATTATACGAGTATCAAAAGAATCTTTTACTTTACTTAAGTTCTTTGCAATACATATGAAAAAATTTACTACATACAGTTGTGGACAAATTATTTTCGTCTTATAATTCTTTCCAATAATCCTCATAAATAGAAAGAAATGGTTGTTTTTAAAGAAATTAGGTTAACATTTAGTCGATTTTAAAAGCAAGGCTAATTGAATTGGAATTCATTTTAAATTGTTCAACTTTCGACAAATTATTCGCAAATATAAAATATGCAGCTAATTGATATAGAATTTTTGATTTTCAGTTTTCAATGACTATTTATAATTATTCTACGAAATCTTTACTTCAATATTTTTATTAAATGCTCAAATTATTTGCATCAATATTTGTAATTTATGTGTAAAAAATTCTTGTATCAACTTAATTAATTAGCCCTGTATGTCATACATGAGTACCAGAAGTATTATGTTCACAATAATAAAAAATTAATAAATGAGATGAATAATTTATGATGGAGAAAAAAATTGTTACTATAGTAGCAACTCATGCCATACTTGATAATGAGTTGATTTACACACATTAACAATATAAATTAATTCACACAATAATAATAGTTGATGACATTTAATAAGAATAGGTTTGTATATGTGCGTTATACTTTGTCGTATTTTATTAAATATAAGCGCTATAATTTTATTTCATTTGATTTAATATAAAGGTGTATGTACCTACATATAAATATTTTTTTTATAATTAGGTTGAGGTTATTAATGTTTAAAATATTCTGTTTTGAAAAATTAATTCACTCAAAGTACATGGAAAAGTACAAGAATTTTAAATTAAAATGATTTTCTTTTTTCTTTTATGAAAAATTTACAATACTTAATCTGCTACCTTGTTTTAATAAAGGAAACTTTAAGATTTTTGTATTTAGCATGATTGAGTTAGCACAAATATTTTTATAGATTTTTAATTTATACATGTATATATATACAATATATATATGTATATATATATATAATAATTTCTAAAGGAAATATTAAAAGAGTTTCTCTGATTCATGCAACAGATTAATTTACGGATTAAACTTTTTGATTAATTAATTTAATTATAAATGGTTTTAATAAAATAAAAATAATTAATATTTCACATTAATAATTTAATAATTTAAATTCTTTGTAATTAATAATTACTTTTTAATAATAAAAAATTTAATTTTGCTTCTTAATAGGCAAAAAGCGTAGTTCATTGATAATTGAGTTTTAAATATACATGGTTTTAGCGAATTGTTTGGGAACTGGCTACTTTAATGGAAAATGGTTCTTGTACAAGAATACAAAATTTGCAATTCTTTTTTCATTTTTTTCATACATTTAAAGTGAAAATCAATAATAAATTTATTGTTATAAAACTGTTGTTCT